CATAATGTACCTATGTGGTACACAATTTAAGCGGAACCTTTCTAGACAGGAATTTAATGTATTTTGACACAGTACTGAAACAATAAAATGGGAATTGCTTCAGGGTGTCTTTCTTTTTTCAGGTTCAGAAATATATTACCTTTTATCTAAAATATTCTAGTTTAAATATAAGAACTGTAGGAACTATGGATTGAAAAATGTTATTGAAATAATATTGTGTTGAGACATCAATACAGAAACTTACCCACAAAGAACATATGAGTTACAACAGACAATCAGATGTTCCTGTAATATTTCCTCATAATTCAATCTTGATTAAAAAAGGACGATCAGTGTGAGCTTTCAATTATGAGTACTTAAAAAAGTGTATCCTACTTCAAGCCATAGAATATTTATTCTATGTCCTTATTCTACATTCGGTTGAGTACATTACAATGATGGAAACTATTATTTTAAAAATTTTAGTAGACATGCTGGTTATAGGGAAAAAATTGCAAAGTAAAGGATGTATTTGGATAAACTAGTTTTAACAATGCTAATAGGAAATGCCAGACTAGAAATTTAAAAAAGATACTGCTTGGTTACTTCTGTTCAGACTATAACATCTGAAGCCTTTTCAGGTTCTGGATGCTTGAAATTATTTCTAGCAGATAATTAATCAGGCAGCTTCTTAATCATGGAGAGACTATTAAGTGCATGCAGGTTAAAATACTAAGAATTCTTCATACTGAATCTGCAAAGGGGGCAGGCCCCAAGTATATGAGTACTGAGGTAGAGTCAGAACAATTCTTCAGTCCCTTTCATACTTTGTGCTTTCATACATTCAGACAAAAGAACAGTTTGCTTGGAAATTTTACCAATTTTTCAAGCATTAAAATATAGCTGTGGAATATAGCTAGTTGGCAAAGATTTGGGGAATGTATAGCAAACTGCTATCAAAACTGGGTCTGAGGTATTGTGCTTGGCCATACAGAATGTCAGGATTAGATAGAGTTAGTTGAGTGGATTAGGCTGCAAATACAGTTTTCCCATAACTTTAAGCCTTCTTCAATCTGGCACTTTCCAGATGTGTTGGAATGACAATACTCAGAATTCTCAGCTACCCATTCTGCATGGGAATTGTGGAAACTGTAATCTCAGCACAACTAGAAGTTGCCACTTTGGGAAAGGCTTGTTTAGTATTGTTGCAGAGCACTTGGATTCAATCTCTAAAAAATGCTTCAAGCTATAAGGAAGCACAGATATAACATTTGTCTGCAACTCCTTAAAGCAGCTGTACCTTTTCTTGGCATCATGCAGGAAACTGTATTTTAATGCTCCGAAGTACCTTTTGGATACTTTGGATACTATCTACCTTTTAGAGATGAAATTTGAATAGCTACAACTATTGAAATACCCCTCGCTACTATCATTGTATCAAAAAAGAAATTCTCACACAATTCATGATATCATAGATTGTCAGCTTGAATTCTAATCTAACGAGCCCATTAGAAAGCCTCTATCTTAGAGCAAGCATGGAAATCTATCTCCTTGTTACCCCTCACCAGATTTCAAATATTATGTTGTATTATGATTTAACCATGGTTTACAGAATGAACGACAGTTGGATGAGTTTTTAAAATATACTAAACCACAAATCATAGTTTGGAAACTACAATGGCTGGATTTACAGAGCACTCTAAACTAAAACCAAAGAAACCACGTGGCTTAGTTATGGTTTAGTTAGATGTGTGTACTCAGCCACTAACTCTTGTAATATATGGGCTACGCTCTTCCCTAAGACATAGTAGTACCCAGGAATATGCCATCCAGCGTCCCCTTATTTGTACTTTAAAATATCCAGTTGTCTAGTATCTACACTAATCTTCTCAGCTTTCTTCTCTCACCCAGAATCTAACGGCTAGAGATTCTTCCCTCTGAAATTTAAAAAAAAAAAAAAATCTTCTATTTTGATTTCATTCTGCAAATCTGAAAAAAAGAGGCAAATCTTAAAATAGCTTGATAAATCAAAATTCCAACATACAATAATGGTACATTCTACCACGTATTGGCAAACTTATCCCAGTACCTAACCAGATCAAAAATTAATATTAGCAAATCTGTCATGAATATTTGGCAAAATCTCACATGCTTTCATGTTATGTTCATATGGTTGCAACAGGAATTCCCTGAAGCTGTGAGGTAACTATATTTTGCTAACATGTTGTCTCAGATATATATTATGCAATTTCCGCAAAACACTAAATGGTGAATTACAGTATCTTCACAACAAAAATAAGAAGTCCTATGGCATCTTAAAAATATTAAATGTACCATCATCTGATCATGTTCATACTATAGCATCCAGAATAAATTTCATGGTCTAAGCTAGGGAGTTACAAGCAAAGCAGCTTCTACCCTGAGTATAAGTCTGTTATGCCTGTCCTTGCAGCAGTGACCTAGTTCACACATAATATTAAGTCACAAGATCATTTATTTAGCACGTTATGCTAAATGAGGGGCATTATGGCTAAGTATAGTACGTAAACCAAATCACTTATGCATTAACTGTAAACACAGAGACAATATTTTTTTGTTTATCTGTAGCAGAAATTGGCAATATTTTAAAGTGAAAATCTGATGCACTGAGTTATGCTCAAATCAGAAGTCCAGGGACCTGCTTCAAAAGTTGCATTCTGACAAGGTGTATTCTGAAAATTTGTTTATTTATCTACCACATGCTCCTGGTACAAACCAGAAATCAGGAAGAGGGATGAGGATATTGGGGCATGTTTTCCCCCTATAAGAATGTTTGACCATGACCAGAAAAATAAGGGAATGAACCAGAGTTAAATGTTAGCATACTGCAGAATTAAAAGAAGCACCAACAGTACAAAAAATCTCAGAACACCATCCAGAAAAGCTTCATAAGGAATTACAGACAATCTGTTCATCTGAAGATTGCCTATCAGGAAGAACGCATATCAGGTTTAATATCTGAACGGGCATATTAGCTAACACAGTATAATTTGCCTATTGACAAACTCTAGAAACAAACTACAACGTAGCTTTCTCCAACTTGATGAGTTCCAGATGAATTGGTGTGCAAGGTGTGTCAGGCTTGGCTAGCCCTGAAGATTAAGCTTTCCAATACATATTTTGCACTGTGGCACAGAATGTTGGACTATACATATTCCTTTGTCTGATACAGCAAGATACTTAATATCCTTAGATTGGAAATTAACTAACTGTGTGGATGTTGCCTTAGAGGAATGAACATATTTCAGAATGAAAAACTTCAATTCTGTTTAGGTATATTATCAAAAATATTATTTTATTCCCTCTAGATACTTACTTATATGAATCACAAGATGTTCAAATTATGTGTTACTTATAGCTGTTCATAAAACAGCCATAGCTAAAAGAAGTAGAGAGTGCCTAGGACTTGTTTTGGCTTTGTATTTCAGAGTTGAAGCATGAAATGCTCCCGATTAATAACAGATGATACATTTCTCAGTGATGAAGTAAAATTGCGGGGCAAGTTGGCAACTTTCTAAAAAGTGACAAATAATCATTCTTCCTATCATTTGGATAAATGTTAACAGTTGAAACTCTCTGCTGTAAGCAAGGCCTTAACATTCAAATTGGTCATGCAATATGATTACCTGTCCTCATTTTTCGTTCAATCCATGTGGTATTTGATTATGAAAAGCTGAACTTACAGTGATCGTAGGCCTATAGGAGCTTCAAAACCATCATACTCATTGCAAACAGTACACCAACTCATCTGCCTTTTCAGCAGTGTAGTGAGATTCATACAAAACCAGTATGTATACTGAAAGTGGGTTTTAAAATCACCTTTTTTTCCCAACAGAAATTAGTTCTTCAAACGGAAGGTCTAAATTGCAACCTTAGCCTTCAAATAAGCCATCTGGCTTATGTACAAATAGTGACAATAGAAGTAAGTAACTGATGTCCAGATAGAATTCTGCAGTACATAAAGATCAATTTTTAAATAATATTTCTGCTTGCATAATGCTACGCTTTGTTAGAGCAGTCAGTTAGTATGCATGGTTATTTAGAAGAATGAAAATGGCAAGACAGGAATTTTGATTTAAATCAGTAGTTATTTCATATTTTTTCCTTGGTGATTTCAGTAAAGATTATTTAATCATTTCCTTTAGCCAATCCTGCACTAGGCAGGGGGTTAGTCTAGATGATCTCTGGAGCATATTTGAAGTTTATGATTCTATTTACATCTATTGCACACTTATTTAGGAGTAAATCTCACTAGGTGCAGATTACTACCTCTGAGCAGATACTCACAGAATTGTGCATTAAATTATTAGAGTCAATCCCACAACCACCTCTGGTTTTACTACAAAAATTAGGTGTTATCCACTTATGTTGTTTCCCCACTATCTAATTTTATTATGCTATACATGTAGTCCTTGGGTTAAGAATGCCTGGGGTACAGACGACCCATAGTTAAAAACGGAGCCTACTGTAGCAAAACTCAAGTTAAATACACAATGATTCAAGTTAAATACACAATACTACTTATATAGTATTATACAATAATACTGTTCCGGCTTACAAATTTGATTTAAGGACAGACCTTGGGAACGGTACTCATTCTTAAACTGGGGACTACCTGTAGTTCCTTCCCACCAATAAATTCCATGTCAGTTTCTAGCATAATTGGTGGAAATGGTTCCTTAAAATCACCTGGAACTGAGAAACAAATTTTATGGCTCAGTTTGGAGACTTACATTTTTACTTTTTTCACTTTTAACAAAGTATGATCAGTAGAACAACCAAAATGCAGGAAAAGTTAGGATGAAAAGCTAGTAGTACTAGAGAAACTGATTCTAAAAAGAGCAATTTTTACAAAATCATGTTAACAATATTCCATCCCCACGACAGATGGGCAGATACCTGTTGTCTGGGAAATTTTATTAGGCTTTGAGAAGATGCTTGCTTCCCCTAATCATCTGAGACACAGCTTACTCAGAACTTACCACTCTGGGTTTATCCAGGGTCTGCAGGAAGGCTGGACTCTGGTCCAAGGATCGCTCAGGATCACTGGAGATATCTTCTTCAGATTCTTCCCAGGATGAGGAGAAGCCGGTGGAAGAAGCTGAGGAAGAAGACAGCTTCCTGACTGGCATGTCCTTTGGGGGAGCTGCTCCTGCCTTTTCCTCCTCCTGAGCATCCAAGTCTGTCACAATAACGGCAGGAATGCTTGCGCCTCCATAGCAGCTCTCCCCTTCCACTAGGGACCGCCACGGTTGTGGTACGGCTGCAGAGGTCCCTGATGGAGGCTGCTGTTCTTGCAGCCCAACAACATGGGCTTCAGCCATAACCTCAGACCAAGGCTCAGAGAATGTCAAAGTGAGCAGGCTGCTGCTACCCTCCTTGCCGTCAGTTCTGGCAAGGCAAGACGGGTCTCCTGGAGGGAGCGGCTCTCCAAGGGGGTTCTCTATGGCGCTTGAGCCCTGCCCTCCAGGAAAGCCCCTCCTCCCGCGCCCGATTTCTAAGAAGCCTAGACTCTCGCAGCAGCTGCTCACCTTGCTTGGCCCCCCTGAAAGTCGCGCCTTGCCTTCACCTGGCTGCATCCCACTGCTCTCGTCCGAGCCCCAAGTTTCCTCACAGCTTCTCCTGCTTTCCATCTCTTTGGAGTGTTCCTCTTCTAGAGGCTGACTTCTCACCTCAAAGCCCTCCCTCTCAATAGGCCACAGGCCCCCTTCTGCCAACCCGGACTTCCGCGGCCTGGGAATCCCAA